AAAAAAAAAAAAAAAAAACCTACTTTGGGCTGAGCATGGTGGCTCACGCTTGTAATCCTAGCATTTTGGGAGGCCAAGATGGGCAGATCACCCGAGGTCAGGAGTTCGAGACCAGCCTGGCTAACATGGAGAAACCCCATCACTACTGAAAATACAAACATTAGCTGGGCGTGGTGGTGCATGCCTGTAATCCCAGCTACTCAGGAGGCTGAGGCTGGAGAATCGCTTGAACCCGGGAGGTGGAGGAGGTAGCTGTGAGCCAAGATCATGCCATTGTACTCCAGCCTGGGCAGCATGGTGAAACCCTGTCTCTACTAAAAATACAAAAAATTTGCCAGGCATGGTGCCAGGTACCTGCAGTCTCAGCTACTTGGGAGGCTGAGGCAGGAGAATCGCTGAACCCAGAAGGCAGAGGTTGTGGTGAGCCAAGATCAGGCCACTGTACTCCAGCCTGGGCAACAAGAGCGAGATTGAATATCAAAAAAAAAAAGGAAAGGAAAAAGAAAAAGATCCACTTTGCCGTTTTCTACCTTTTTGCTTGTGATTCAGTGTACTTCTTAGAGGAGAGCTCGATGTCCGTATCTTACCATGTTCTCTAAACATTCAAGAGGCATTCAGTGGGTGAATTTGTGAGGTATTTTTCTAGATCCATTTGTAATGTCCTCTCTCCTCTAAACAAAGGGCTGGGATTCTGTAAAAGCCACAGCACATCACATTCCTTTCTCTTTATAAGCAGGAATCTCTCTTCCTGAAATGAATATTGTCTCCACGTTGGAGCAAGGGAAAGAGCCCCGGACTGTGGAGAGTGAAGTGAAAATAACAAAAACATCAAATGGTTGGAAATGCGTCAAAGGTGTGAACACAGGTAAGAGCTCAGATGGGCTGAGAGGAAGCTGCACCATTAGTTTTCAGGTAGCTCTTTCCAAGTTGAAGCATTCTATGGGACAAAAAGGGTTTAAATCCTGTGAGCACTCAGTGGCAATCTTCCTATGCCCTCATTTATCCCTCTACTCTTCTGCTGTGTCATCGTTTATCCTTTCACTATCCCATGGTGCAAAGACTTTATCATGATGGACAACACTTTGTCAGGTGGCTTCTGGGACCTACAGGGAGGGATGTGTTTAAAGGGGTCTCTTTCCCCCGTGATCTCTCCTATATGATTCCATCTGATGCTCAGTTCTCTGTCTATACAGATCAGAGCTGAGGCCCCCATAGACCTGCCCCCTTGACCTGAATAGGTTCTGCCCCATTTCCTGTACTTGGGAGACCTAATCAAATGATGGGAAAAGATGAGCAGCTCCTCCTTTGTATCTGGGGCTCCAGAAACCTCATGGTGCTCTCCAGCCCTCTGCCTGTTGAAGTCCTTCAGCCTCAGTCATTTATTCTGTTTTGCTTTTGCCAGAGATGGCAGTGTGTGGAACACACTGGGTCTTCTGAGATTGTTACTGGAATGGCATTACACAGAGAGTTCCTCTTTTTTTTTTTGGGGGGGGGGGGAGACAAAGTCTGGCTCTCTTGCCCAGGCTGTAATGCAGTGGCCTGATCTCAACTCAGTGCAACTTCTGCCTCCCAGGTTCAAGCAGTTCTCTTGCCTCAGCTTCCTCAGTAGCTGGAACTACAGGCATGCAGGCGTGTGCCACGACACATGGCTAAGTTTTTAAAATTATACTTTAAGTCCTGGGGTACATGTGCAGAACATGCAGGTTTGTTACATAGGTATATGCATGCCATCATGGTTTTTGCACCTACCAACCTGTCATCTACATTAGGTATTTCTAATGCCATCCCTCGCCTATCCCCCCACCCACCGACAGGCCCCAGTGTATGACATTCCCCTCCCTGTGTCCATGTGTTCTCGTTGTTCAACTCCCACTTATAAGTGAAAAAATGTGGTGTTTGGTTTTCTGTTCTTGTGTTAGTTTCCAGCCTCATCCATATTCCTGCAAAGGACATGAGCTCATCCTTTTTTTTGAGATGGAGTTGCACTCTGTTGCCCAGGCTGGAGTGCAGCGGCACAATCTCGACTCACTGCAACCTCTGACTCCCGTGTTCAAGCGATTCTCCTGCCTCAGCCTCCTGAGTAGCTAGGACTACAGGTGCCCGCCACCATGCCTGGCTAACTTTTCTATTTGTTGCCCAGGCTGGTCTCAAACTCCTGGCCTCAAAT